TGGCCCTAATCTAGAACCGCTACTAGTGGTTTTCATATTATTATTTTTTTGTTTGTACATGAACAAAAGCGAGTATCAGGACCGGCAGTCTAAAGATCAGGATAGTAGAGTGTATAGAAAGCGAGTTATCAGGACTGGCAGTCAGTCCCACAATTACCGCCAGTAGTAGTAGGTTAGTTACCATACTGATATCGCTTGGCCAGTTGTCTAGTATAGCACTCCGGTAGTGTTTGTCGCAGGGAGGCAAGTCCGGACTCAGGTTGAGACAACCAGCAGGTGCTGTGACCGGAAAGTCGTCGTTAACTCCTGTCTCTGTCCATCTCTCGTACACAGACTTCCTGATGCCAGCAAATGCTCTGAAGACCACCTTCTGCGTGGAGGTCTGTGTGTTGGGGGTTGTGAGATACTCTGGTAATGTAATATTCCATAAATTGGTCAAATTGAAAACAAACATTGTGTTTTCTGGAATATTGTGATTCAACAGAATTCAGGGCAAGAATAGAAAATGGCCCTACATGTAGTTTTGGGGGAAAATGTTGGGCAATCTAGTTCTAAAAGAATTTACTTCCAGCAAAGAAAATGTTGTTTTTGGTTTACTTGAATTTTTTTAAAGTGCCCTTTTGAATGACATTTAGTTCAGTGCCATCAGATGGCAGAGTTGACAAAAAGATAGTCATTAATTGATTTTTATCGACAGAATGTTACTTGACACTTGCAATAATAATATTGTCTTATAAAAAGTGCTCATCTAACTTCTTATTTCAACCACATTTTTACAATTTGTGTTATTTTTTGGGATACTCTAAAGGCTGTCTTTTAATATTATTTTTTGCAGTTTAATCGATGTGTTCTGTTTGCAACGAAGGCCCTTTAATCAAAATTCAAGAAAGAGAGAACAAAGATAGTCAGTAGTTCTGGCTTGGGACGTATGTGAAGTTTGTTGTTCTTCGTCTTGTTCTGACTGAGCCTACTGATAAATCAGGATTGTGTGTTGACGAGTAAATACCCTAGTGTAAGGAATGATTGCAAGATGAAATTACATTGTAACTCAAAACAGAAGAGAAATCGAACTGTGCTGATTAATTTTCCTCGTAATGAAAGTCTTTCAAAGCTCCTGGATATTTCCCCTGCTTAAAACTTTTGCTGTTACTTATGACAAAAGAAAATTCATCTTATTTTTTAAACTGCTCTTCATCTTTATTTGTGGTGCATATTTGTGTGCGCAATCAAATATCAGTCAATGGGGGTCCTAGTCGAACAGTAAGGATATTTACTTGGACCGGATACTACGGCATGTTGAACATACATGTAATGTAAGAACACAGAAAGGATTAACAACTCGGTTGTTATATATATATTTTAAAAATACAATTGTCGTATCTTTTTCCTGACCAACCGTCATTAAAGCCTCATCCACGGCATTGCTTGCATCACTTTTGGTGGAGAGGTTAGTAATCATTTGACCTCTGCTAAAAACGAAGAGATAATATACTTACCCAGCTCTCTGTACATGATAATGTAGAAATCATTCTTATGGAAAGTGAGACTTCTATCGGTGAAGTCAACAGAGTACACTTCGCAAACCCTGTAAGATTCACTGTACACCACCAGGCCGCAGCAACCCTTGCACTTAAGTATGCAAGACTTCAGACTTTCCCCTTTATGAAAGAGACCAGACAACCAGAAATACAATTTATTGTCTATGACTAGGAAAGAAAATGCAAAGTCATATGTGTGGCATCGTGGTGAAATCAGGCGCTCGTCAAAGTCATGAAATCAAAGAAACTGTCATAGTATGATGCCTGCTCGCTGGGCGGATTTTATCGAACTTTTTGTCCTAAGCTCAACTCCTTTGTTGTCCATTAAAAACAGATTACTGCTTCGATTTTTCTGAAAGACGTCGAGAAAAGAGACAAACTTTGTAAATGTGCAGTTTCAAAGAACATTCAATCAATGGAATTCACCAAGCTTTTGTGGCAATTTTCTCAACAACGTTACCTTCGACACAAAGCAGCCCTCATCTCCTTTAATTGCAGATGTCTCGACTTCTGTTCAAGACAGATGGGTACTTATTAATTTTTGATTAAAGGCAAGACAAATAAAAATGGTTTAAGATTATATCAATAACTTTATATGCCAAAAACTTGACGAACGCCAGAGTCCACCAGGTCGTGATACATATTCTGACTATAGTCCGAACGGTGTTTTGTCATTCTATATCTTCTGGTAGCATGTTTATTGTATTTGTTTTAATATGAGTCGACCTCAAACTGTACAAAAAAGTCATTTCCCGGACGAAAATTGCAGTTATAAAAGTAGTAACATTTAGGCTGAAAATATACTGCCACGCACAATTGAAGTGCACCGCGAAAAAAAGTCGTGCCCTCCTCTTTATTTCCTATCGGTGATTACACTTACACGATTAGACGTGGGGAGTCGTGAGGGCCCCAACAGACGTGCGTGAGTGCAGCACTTCTTCTAGTCGTGCGGACAGGCCCGCCCTGCTATCGGAGTGTTCCGCGACGCTGTGGAGTTAAAACAAAAGGGGAGACCGACCACTGAGCTGTTTTCGCTTGCTGAGCGCCATTTCTTAAACACAGTCAGACGGAGTCGCGCGTACCAATGGGATCACCACTTCCGAACTAGCTGCTTGTGCGTTTGGCGGCGCACTTCAGTTGTGCGTGACAGTATATTTTCAGCTTTACCCCCCCCCCCCCAAATTAAAAAAAAAAAAAAAAAAAACCAATTACAAAAAAAACCAGAAACAAAAAGACAAACTCTCCCACTCTCCACCCCGTAACCTAAAAAAACACAAAAACAAAACAACAACAACCCAACCAAACCAACCATTCAACTCATCAAATAATACTCGGGCAAATAAGCATTGAGATAGACACATTAAAATGGTTACTTCAGTAAGTTCACTTTGCTTAATCAGTAACACCGTTGTTCTGTGAAATGTATTTTCATTTACTATTTCAGTGAGTCTTTTCACTACCGCACATATGAAACCAAGTTAAGAATTATCTCCAAGGGTGAATCTGGAAACAGATGAGCTTTTGAAGCCATGCATCTTAACCAGAGACCGGCATGCTTTTGTAGATCCAGTCTTTCATCGAATTCCAAGGAGTTTAAACCGGAGCAAAAATAACATTCTTTACTTTTTTACAGCTATGAGGAAACTCTCGATGTGATATATCTAATTGAGCTGCTCACTTCCATAGTTTCGAATGTCAGGCCATGCAGGCCAACAAACACAGAGAGGCTAGACATATTGTTGGTGATAGATAGATAGATAGATAGATAGATAGATAGATAGATAGATAGATAGATAGATAGATAGATAGATAGATAGATAGATAGATAGTGTACTCACCAAAATCTGTCGACCGATAAATCAAGCCAACGTCATCAATGACGATTCCGGAGTATCCTTTCAGGCTGTTGTATTTGGTAGTAACATCACAAGAACAGACCTGTGTGCTGCCCTTTGCCCCAAACAAGACAACACACACCAGAATAACAGTCGTCCTGAACATCTCTTTTTGTGATGAGACTAGACCAAAGGTTAAAACCATGTTATTGATTACCCTCTTTGGGAAAAGAATTGTGTCTCCTTTCTAGATGTGGCACATGATAACCGTCCTACGAGTGCTCGAGTGACCCTACATGGTGGATCTGAGACTATCGACACCGTATTTGTGGGCGCTTGTTTTCAGTGTGCGAAGCCGAATGAGAATCCACTGTTTTATTGAAGAGGCAATTTTGTAATCACTGACATGCTGTGAATGAGCACTCTTTCATTGAACAATTTCTAAAAACAATTAGAACGTCGAAATTGTGTTCACTCCGACAAGCTCAGCACAGACAATGATGTAATTGTAAACGAACCGGTCCAATCCTTTTGATTATTCATGATGGAATCCATTGGTGTGAATTGAAACCAGCTACCTGTAGTGAGAGGCAATGGCGGTGGATGGGTTGTAAAGAGGGTGGGGGTGGGTCTTTCTGTTACCAAACATGAGGTCGATCACATTATAAAGATGAGTAATGACTGAAAAGCCAGTCAAGCACTCGTGATAATATGTCAATGTCAAAATATAGTCTTTCAAAGTACATGTTCGCAAAGGTGATTTTTAGTCTCCATTAGCACAATTTATAACACTTCGGAGGTGGGCTTCAGACCCTGGCTGTTAGGGCCAACCCAAGCTGAGAGGGGTACAACATCCCTGCGGATGGACCGAAATACTCGTTAAAAATTTCTCCCCACTCGAGAATCGGACCCGAGTCTCCTGTGTGCTGCACCACAGACGCCTGTTAAATTATAATTATTCCAAACACATGTAGTTTCAAACAAAACAATATTTGAAACTAGAAAATGTATTGACCTGAATATAGATATGATAGTCTTGACGCATGCAAGGTAAAAAAACAACAACCCAGTTATATTCAATCTGTGGGAACATAAACACGGCTGCTTCAGGACCACGCTTATGAACTTTCATTGTCCCCTTCTGAAGGAGCGCCTAATTTGAGAGAGCTATAATCGTAGTGAATGAATTATACATCCAGACCGTCCAGACTGCCATTGGGGCTGTGCCTGTAAAGTTTTGTCTGTGTTTCGTGTGAGATGGGTTTTTTTTTCGAAAAATGTTTTGTTCCTTTTTCTTCCAAACTTTTGGTGTTTCTTTTCATTATAGTCTGCAGAAGTAGCTTTTTGTTGAAAAAAACCAGGTGGGGCTTAAGCTGCAAGCTCTGCGTCACTAGACGCCACTGGTGAGAGAGGATGCGTTAAGAACATGGTACATAGAGGTCGATACGTAAAGTGCAGGGTGCATAGAGAGATCGATACTAAAAGCAAAGTAATTTGGATAGTGCTTTTATCAAAAAGAAAAAGAACAAAAGAATACTTTAAAATAAACCACAATAATTATTTTTTAAAAAAGAAAAAATTCTAACACAAATAACAGGATGTGCTAAAAGTTACAAAAGAATGTTTCTTAAGTATACTGCATGAAGTTTATCAAGCTGTTTGCACGATCAACTTTGTTTTTAAGGGAGGAGGGGTGGGGGGGGGGGGGGGGTGTTTTAAATTGACGATTTTCGATCAATTTATGGTATCTGGATTTTTTACGTATTATAATACTCCAATCATTTGTAAATCTGAAAAGTGCTTCCTCTTTGTGTTACAATCATCATCTTTCATTCAGATTTTCTGGTCTAGAACTTTCATTTTGCTTATTATGTAACAAAATGTTTTTTCTCAAAACTTCAATTTTTAATGGGTTTTTTTCATCTACTTTTTAATTTTCTTTTTGGTTCCAAAGAAATTTTCAGGGCTGGTTATTCATATCATAGCCTATCTTATACAGGTGGAAAAAATCGAGCGATGCATTCATAAGTGAGTTTCATGGATGGTTATGCAATCTAATACAGAGGCATGAAGGGGTAGGCCAGTTATCCATCTCTAACTTTTTCCCATTCCATATACCCAAAATCCCAACTGCATAACATTTTGTATTGAGTATATCTATCAATGTACCAAATTTGATTGGTAAAAACAAATCTTTTTCACTTTTATAAAGGCTGTTTATTTTCAATATGGCAGCCGTAACCATGGCAACCGCAGACAGAACAAAAAAAAGTTACATTTTACATGTTTTCCTGTTATACCTCATTGCTATAAGGCTTTAGCTAAAAAGGCCATAGTTACCGAGATAGGTTTATAAACCAGCCCCCCCCCCCCCCCTTTCCCACCTTAATGAATCTCACTCTTCTCGTGGGAACACTACTTTCTGCGTGGGAAAATTGAAACCTGGACCTACTGTCGACGAGCACTCGCTTCTGTCTTGTTTGTTTTGTGTGTGTGTGTGTGTTTTCTACAATTAGTCTCTTTTAGCCACTTTACTGCCAGGCCCGAGAATTGAGTTATGGAGCAGGTCGAAGAGTAAAAACTCATTCCTGCGTTTCATAAATCTCAGTTTATTAGATATCAAAATTCACAAAGGGCTACTCTTTCGTTTGAAGTAAGGGTTTTGATCACGTCGTTGTTCTCTTTCAACCACCAACACTATCGATCCCGCAATGTAAGCGCCACTGGGCTGATCTGGCGGAGACCTTTGTGTTAAAAAAAACACTGCCCTCTCCTTTTCACTCTCAAAATATTGTTTTCACCTCAGCCAATCGTACTTGGTGGATTAGATAAGGAAAAACAAGTTACCTACCTTTAGAGAAGAAAAAAAATGACATCTAGATCTAGATATTAATATACAGAGATAAGACCAGTAAGTAAAAGATGACCATGATGCTAACATATAATTGCGTAAGTTTTCTTCTATCAACACGTGCCTAGGATTATGTTGCAAAGTATAGTCTATTGGAATTAAGCTGCTAGGATTTCGCATGGCGTATGCAAATGAACGAAACCAATTAAATAAACAATGTTCTTGTTTGGTGTTGCAATATGTATTGTGAAATTCGAGACCCTGCGACTTCAAACTTAGTAGTGCCCTCTGAGAGCACAGCTGCGCAGTGGTTGTACTTGTGTACCAACGAATGAAGGTCTTTTTGAGGAGTCGGTACTGCTAACTGTGAGCAATGGGGGAGTTAGTGTTGGCATGTGGGGGATAAGGGAATAATACTATACTCGTACTGTTATAGGGAGGTCGGAGTAATGTGGAAAGACGGGAAGAAGATATGAAGGGATAATTTGTTTGGGTATCGATTCCCCATTGGAAAACTGTTTGATAATGGCATGATGCTAAGCGCATCCAACATGAGATATAATTATCACACCAGTACTAGTCTTAATGGAACATCACTCTCTTTCTGGTTCAACTGGGTTTAACGCCAATCTTATCGGAACTTCGGGTGCCGATGAAGAAATGGCTACATTTTCAGGAGTGTATTTCTTTTACGTAAAGATACTTGTATCAAGACAGATGTTATAAAAGTAAGGGAGCTTGGAATTCAATACTAATTACGATTTACTG